CACAAGAACCAACATGTCACGATCCGGGCCAGGCTAAGCAACGATCCACCCTCTCAGCCGCAGTAAATCTTCCGAGCCACAGGAATGCCCAACCAATGCCCCAGAAAGGAAATAATAAAACGTCCGCGAGGTGAGGCTAGGCAGGGAAAGACGGCCGCTGACTGCAGCAACCCAATACTTCCCTGTGCTGCGAACAGGGCAGTGGAAGCCGGGGTCGTTGCAGCCGCACGGACAGGCGTGGGCATGAGCATGGGCAAAGACAGGGTACGGCCGGAATGATTTCCCTGTAGTCTTTCCGATGAGGACGTGCACGCGCATAGCAGGTCTGTCGGACATCGAGAACGGGGGGCGTCAGCCACTAGCCACTGAGCACTGCTTGTTTGCTTGTTTTTCTTTTTTGTCTTGGCGGGACGCGAAGACGAGACAAACAGTGGCAGACTGGTCGCTATGACCGCTTTCTAGTGTAGGTACATAGTAAGTGACCATCCGGACCGGGTCTTCTTTTGAATCCCGGAGTCCCGATGCGTTGGGGGGATGGATAGAGATGCGGTATGTAGATAGGCAGTTTAGACGTCTGGCACGGACACGGGCGCAGCGAATTGAAGCAATGCAGCAATTGCAATTGCAATTGAGTTTCTGGAGGAAGGTTGACTCAACAAAAATACCCCAGGGAAAGACTTCCTTCCGTACCAGCCCGGCAGTCTGCAACGGACTGGCTTCACTTCCCTCCTCTCCCTTTCCTGGCCAGTCGCGTTCAAGTCCGTGGTTCCGTGAGACTGCACCCATGACTCCCGTAGATAATCACAGCCGACCACAAAGCACACCCCATAGCCCATCGCCATCACCAGCCCATGGGCTGATCACATGAGCTCCCAGAGTCCATTCCCGCGCCTTGTCTTCGTCGAATTCATCAATTGCTCAGTTTGCTCGATTATTCGATATCTCCCCTTCCTCCCCTCCGATACGCACCACGCGCACCGCCAACTTCCGATCCAGCGCATCCTGCTCTTCTTTCGTAGGCTGCATGCCCAATGCGTTTTCTACCTGGGGCGTGGTCCAGAGTCCGATGCCTGCCCAGGCCATGAGACCGATACCGAACAGGGCCCGGGTTTTGGGGGCGAGGCCGCGGTAGGAGCTGTGAGGCTTGTTAGTTTCTTGACTTTCTTTCTTGCCTCGGTAGTCCGGGTGTTGGTGTGTGCCGGGGTTGGTCGGTTTAGAGCTGTGTCACGTACCTCCAGAGAGACATTTGGACTGGGAATGAGATTATTCTAGTCTTGGAGGGAGGCAATAATGGGGGCAATGTGTGACTTGACTTTCAACTTGCTACTCAACGGACAGAGAGTCACGTGGAGATATCTACACTTTCGGTCACGGGATTGCTTGGTAACTGAGGCTAGCGAACTCTATGACTATACTTCAATCTGTACCAGTGCGACGGGTTCGAACGTGTGTCTTTTTGTCTGCCGCTAAGTCCTGCCAGGTACATGGACAACCCCGGATACTTGTGAATTGCTGGGGGGTGGTGTAACTGTGGCTGATAAATGAGGTACCGGGATACTTCGGACAAAGCACTGCTACGTACATGCTTGTACTTCTGTGTATATGATAGACTTGCTGGATGTATGATAGCTGGCCGGGTAAATGAAATCATTGAAGACATTCTTAGACTAAAAACCTCTTTGGGTGCGAGAATAGCCAATCAAAAAGTATTTCTATAGAATACGAGGCCCATATGTCGATTACGAATTTACGATAGACTAAGTCCTCGTGATGCCGATCATTTCATGCCCACATTGATTACTATATCATCTTCATCGTGGCAGAATATCAATAAGAGCAAGAGTCACAAAAGATAATCATAAATTGAACCGTGAAAATAACAGAGAGGGTCTCAAAGCGCAAGCAATACAGCAGGGAAATAAAATAGGAATAAAAAACACAAGGGCGAAGCGAAATCCAGTGAATGAAGCACCTTGACACGCTTTTATTTCTTGCCGTAGGCCCTGTTGATCTCGGAGTCGTAGCGGGCGACGATCTTCTTGCGCTGGAGCTTTTGCGCAGCAGTCATGAAACCCTAATGTCTCGTTAGCAGAGTTCGAGCCCCAGATAACTTGAGAATCACTTACGTTTTGCGGCGTCCACTCGTCGTCGGATAGCACGATACCGTTAATAATCTCAATGCCCTTCAAGCCACCCGCGCGGCCGGCGGACTGCAGCTCGTGCAAGACGATCGTCTTGAGCTTTTCGTTGTGAACGAGGGTCTCGATGGTGTCACCATCGATACCGTTCTCGTGGGCAATCTTCTTCAGTGCCGCCTCGACGGGGACAATGATAGCAATGGGCTTGTCTTGGTCCTCGGCGGCGTAGACACAGATGTTGCCAACCACGGGAGACGAGCGGTAGACAGACTCTAGCTTCTCCAGAGCGATGTATTCACCGTTCAGGGTCTTGACCAAGTTCTTCTTGCGGTCAATGATCTTCAGGTGGCCGTTGGGGTCGAACTCGCCAATGTCACCGGTCATGAACCAGCCATCCTTATTGATCGCAGCCTTGGTCTCCTCCTCGTTGTGGAAGTAGCCCTTGGTCACACTGCCACCGCGGATGAAAATCTCGCCCTGAGGGGGGTGGTTCGAGGCCAGGTATCCAGCATCGGGGAAGTCAACAAGCTTGACCTCGATCGAGGCGGGAATTTCACCCAGAGCATTGGGGTTCCAGGCCAAGGGGTCGTTCAGGGCACCCATGGCAGAGGTTTCGGTTAGACCGTAACCGCTAACCATGGGGGCGATGGCCATGGACAAGAACACCTGGGTTTCCTTGGAGACGGGGCCACCACCGTTCATGATGACACGGAGTCGGCCTCCGGTTGCCTCCTTTAGCTTTTTGAAGACAACGGCGTCCAAAATTGAGGCGCCCATGTTTGAGCCAGGGATGCCGGTGGACATGAGGAAACTCTTGGCTGCCATGGCACCCCAGAACATACCCCTGACCACGAAACTGGCCTTGTTTAGATTGGCCAAGACACCCTTTTTCACTGACTCCCACACGGCCGGTACACCGACCAGAACGGTAGGCTTGAATTCCTTGATATCACCCAGGCACTTCCACATAGAGGCATCGGACAACGTTCGGGGGTTACCGTATCCCATGGTACCACCCCAGAACAAGCACAGGTTCTCGAACATGAATTCCAGAATGTGCGATTGGGGAAGATAGGTCAGGAGGGAGTCCGTGTGGTTGATACAGGGACCGATGACGGTGTGGACACCAGCAGCTATTGCGAGATATTAGCTTAATAGACAGTTCGGAGGATTCTTTCCAGCTTACTGGCAGCGATCACGTTGGCGTGTGTCAATGGCACGCCCTTCGGTGCGCCTGTTGTGCCCGAGGTGTACATTATGCAGCACAGGTCCTCCGGCTTAGGGGGAACAGGCTCCACGGGGTTCTCCTCGCCCTGCTTACGCAAGTCCTCGATGCTCAGCACATTGATGTGAATAAACTCGCTGTGTAACTGATCAAGAATCTTCTGGTCGATTTCCGTGTCGGTGTTGTAGATAATGTGCTTGATTGTAGGCACGCTCCGGAGGATGTCGATAAGCGACTTCAGCAGGCCGGGGTCGAGGAAGATGGCAGTGCTACCGGTTTGAACGATAGAGTGCTTTAGGCCTTCCTCGCCTAGGGTATCATACGCGGTTACAATTGTCACGGACTGAGATGCAGCACCTGTAGTAGGTTAGTGGGTTTGTTCGCGTCATGGAAATAGGGATAACGAACCGTGCGACATGGCCAGCCAGTGTGCGCTATAAGAATAATCAAGTCAGTCATCTGGCTCCGAATCTCTTTGGAGGCGCAATGTCTTACCTTGTCGCACCGTAGAGGTGGATTCTGCCCTCCTTCTCGAAGCCCAGCTTACGGAGACCGCAACCAAGCTCCAGACACAGCTTCTCATATTCGAGGAAGCTCTTGTAGGTATAACCACTCATTTCAAAATAAGTCCACTTCTTGTCGACCTCCTGCTCAACACCGTCCACGATCTTCTTAACCTTCTTGTTCTCCACGTGGGTCTTGATGAGCCGGCGACTGCCGACAGCTTTGGCGTTGCCAAAGACGCGAGCAGACCGGCGCATATTCTCATAAGTGGTAGAGACATCCTCGAGGGTCGTAATGAGGCCGTTCTTGGCCTTGGGGTGTCGACGTGGGATTGTCTCACCGGGGACGGGCTCATATCCGGGCGCCTCGATTGAGAAAGGGCCCTTCTTGACCATGCGCGGCTGGAGGTGAATGTTTTGCGTCGCCATGTTGACTGTGTGTCTCGCTCAAAGGGAAAGCGGAAGGGGCCGGGTATCGAGGATATTTAAAGAAAAAGATCTTCTACGCGATGGGGACGGCGGTTAGCTAGTGCGGGAATAGCACGGAGCTAGGAAGGGGCAAAGCACACGAGCTGTAACAAGCCACGGGGTAGAACAAGAGTTGGAATAGAATCTTACCAAGTCAAGAAAGAAAATGGGGTATTAAAATGAGATATGAACTGAGCATTCACCGGGGAAGAGGAGAAAGTTGGGCCCTGGCAGGTTGGATATGTGGCTGGTCGGCAAATGACGCAGGAGGTCCAAGGTTTTCGGGTTGATATTCGACTTTGGGACTTTGGGACTTTCACCACGCACGGAGTCTTGTTTTTATTTAATATGTTTCAGTTGATTCCTTCTTGAAATTAAGCCTTTGTTATGGATAAGTCGAAATTGCATAAATAAGCGCTAAGTTACTATTCAGTCAGGTCCCGTTATCCCTTTCTGTTGGGTTTCCCAACAATTCTTCACAAGTCATAGCTCTTATACGAAGTGTAGAAGCACTGGGATTGGCATAAATATTGTATTCTGGGTATATTTCACATCCAATATCCAATTTATATGCCTTGGTCCCGTGATCCCTTAACGTGCTACCCAACCCATAAAAGTTCCATAAAAACATTAGAACATCCATATAACATCCATAGATACCAACTTATGGACCAACTCATCAACCTACTCGCCAATGAAGAGGTCATTGACGTGGATGAGGGTACGCCACCGAATACGATACCCCAAACCTACCCAGTCACTCACCAAACTCACTATAGAGTCATTTCTCCTCTTCGCGCAGGACATCCCAAGCAACAACCTGGGGATGCTCAATCCCCGTGCACCATCAGTAGAAATCTCCATCAATGACCATGAATACATCATTCATCAATCACCAGCATTACTCTCCTCCCATCGCGCGGGAGGAACTACAGGCGCCGGTAAGTACTAAGTACGGACTCCGGTTCACCAAGACTGGAGCTCGCATGATCTACACCAGTTCTTCTATGATTTGTCCCCGGAATCCCCAGAGCCAGCAAACCCAAGCACGGACTACTCCGTACTCCGCAGGTCATTTACCCGAGTCCGATGCCCAGACCAGGCCGAGGGTCGAGGCGTCGAATTGTCCAATCCGATGATTGTCTGTGCCTCGGCTCTCGGGGAGGGTGACTGTCACACTGTGCTTTTCTACCCCAAACACGAGGTTCATAGTGTAATTGTCACCTGCCCTGCTATGCCTTAGCCTTGGCCTTGACCCTTTTTTTCCCTTGCTCAGACCTCGGGATACCTTGGCGACTTCCCGACTGATCCACAACCACCACCCGCTTTGACGATTTACTATCATCCGTCCCGAAATTAAACCAATACTAACCCTACAAACCCAGTCCTATGGAAAATCACCCCTTTATTCGCAGAATGGATAACCAACCCCTCAAACCCGCTCTGGACAACCGCCCTCCTCAGCCAGACCTCAACAGTAGCCGAACTCGGCACCGGCATCTCCGCACTAGTCGCGCTCGTCCTAGCCCCCTCCGTACGCCACTACATCGCCACAGACCAAGAATACGTGCGCAAGTTGTTCCGCACGAATCTCGACGCTAATGCATCCGTCCCTGTCTCTAGCAACAACAACAGCAAAGCAAAAAGCAAGAGCAAGGCATCCAAATCAAAATCAAAACCAACGACCGCCAAGCCTGTCACTAATATCTCCTTCACAACCCTGGACTGGGAGACTGACCAGGCCGCCTCTCTGAAAGAATGTATGGATCTCGACGAGACTCACGGCGAGGAAGAAGGAGAAGGAGACGAAGATAAAGGTTTCGACCTCCTGCTTTCCTGTGACTGCATCTACAACGAAGCACTCGTGGCGCCGTTCGTGCGCACCTGCGCGGAGCTATGTCGACTCCGGCCGGCGTATGTGGCTGAGTCTGGGGAACTGCGGGAGCGCCGCAGACCGACGGTTTGTATTATTGCGCAGCAGCAGCGGTCGCCCGATGTGTTTGAGACTTGGCTTAGGGAGGCGATGCGGGAGTTTCGGGTTTGGAGGTTGAGGGATGATGTGCTTGGGGAGGGATTGAGGAGTGGGTCTGGATATTTGGTGCATTTGTTATTGGTGAGGGATAGATAGCATATAGATGTAGATATATTAGAAGTACATATAGGTGGCTTTGTTCATACCTATCTTGGGAGTACTGTATATAGCTAGCTGTCCTAGGCTGAGGCTTTCCCATACTAAAATCAGAAACAACCTACAGATGGTCATCACTAGCTAGATTGTTTAGAGCAACATTCGGGATCAACTTGAGGGACTTTGAAGAGTACTCGGACTAACATGAATATGAGTCTGGATTTCAGACCTCTATAGATGAGATCCACGAACTACTAAACATACTTCAGACCACCAATGAAGCTTGCGATGTTATCAACAGGTGCTTGATTTGTTTGTGCTTATGAGTGTGTACTATATACATAGCAAGGAGTTACCGATATCTCGAGACAGTTTTATTTACAGCAGCAGAAGACCCGAACAGCACTTTCCGGTAGCCAAGGCTCTCATAATCTCCTGATTTTGTACCCCCAGCGGCTGTGATTCACAGCGAGACAAAAGACGCATGGATAAACTCCGAAATGCTCAGTATGCAGTATGCAGCTAGCTATGAAGCATTATATGGTAATGCGCACAGCTTCGAGCCAGTATGTTCAAATAAAATAGAAGACGCCAAAACCAACCCATATATAACGAAAGGGTATCGAGAAAAGACATGCCCGAAGCACATCTAACCGACACAAGAAATACAAGAGCATGATGCAATAGATTATCATATCGACAGCGCTGATATTCGTAGACGCTCAAGAAATTATGTAGGTGTATGTATGTATTGCCGGCGGAAATCGACATTGAAGATAAACATTATTCCGCACACCATCTAAGGCTCCGCATTTTCTTTTTCCGCCGGCGGCGAGAATTCGTACTTGCGCTTCGAGGGCACAGACGACTCGGTGGATGTAGGGGACGGACCCTGGATACCAGATTCCGACGGCGGAAGAGTCGCCAGCGCCTCTCTGGATTCTGTTTCGGGGGTGCGGTCGATGATGGACGAGATGGACTGCTTGGTTGATCCGTTGGCTGCGTGCTTGGGGGGTGTTGCCGCAGCGGGTTCAATGGGGGTGCCCTCTGCGTCGGGCATGAACCGATCTAGGACTTCGGTCTTGACTCGGTAGGAGCCCTCGCGCTCGAGCTCGCCTTCGGACTCCGAGTCCATGTCCTCGTAGTGCTGGTCGCCGTCGGGGTCCAGGGGATTGGAGCCCAGGGGACTGCCTTCTGTTGAGGCCCGGTGGTTGTTCATGACTGGCGGGAGGGGAGCGTTCGGGTCGTAGACTACACCGCAGACTTCGAGGGCGCGGGATTGGCTGCCCAGAGTGCGGTCTTTGTGTTTCTTGGTGAGATGGCACATGAAGCCATGTAGGGTGACGAAGTCTGATTTCCCGCAGCTGTGGATCGGGCAGGTGAGATATACTAAGCTTCCGTCGGACGGTCTCTTCCACAACGCTCGCCCGGATGGGTCATGGGCGGCTGGTCGGCCGTGGCGTTCGCCCCATGCCTCTACGTTTTTGATAGTGTATTTTTGCTTGCGGCGGATGGAGCCAGCGCTGTGTATTTGTATTGAGTCGTGGGGAAGCATTGGGTGTTGATGCTGAGATGGTGGGGGAGGCGGGGGAGCTTGATGATGAGGTTGAGCATGCAAATGGGGTGGCGGCATTGAGGGAGGCGGCGCCTGAGATGAAGATGGAAGGGGTTCTTGACGGGGCTCGGGGGGTGTTTGCTGCTTGAAAAATGCCAATGTGGTTGCTGCACTCGTCTCTGATAATCGGCGAGGTGGTGTAGGCCGAAGAGGCGGCGAGTCGCCCGCGGCATTGAGGCCCAGTCCCATGGACTCTCTCTTTAACTTTTTCCGTTGTCTTCGAAGGTCCTGTGAAGCTTTAGAATCTCAATTCACCAGATGGATATCCCAATCGCTTACCTCTTCCTCTGCCTCGGCTCGCTCCGTCATTGACCGAAATTCCTCATCTTCATGCTTTCGCATTGCCAAGACGCGACTCCGGGTTGCATTCCGGACCATCTCCTCGTGCTCTAGATGCCGGAGTCGAGCTTCGATATGTTCCAAGGAAGCTGGACTGTGTATTGGTGGGATTCCTTGCGGATGATGTTCATGCATGGGCGGCGCGAAATGGCGGAAATGGTGGCTCTGCACCATCTGCTCCGGCGGCGGCATCTGGTGTGGAGGTGGATTTGGATTCATGGCAATGGGATGGTAGCGAGGGAGATGGTTGACGAGATGGCCGGGGATGCCACTATCGGGGCCAGAGTGATGCACCGGCGGTGCAGTGGTCATGGTTATGGATGGGGAGGTGCGAGAGGTGATACAGTCTGGAACCCTCCTGCACCAAAAGCTGAAGAGAGTATGAAGAAGTTCAAAGGAAGAGAAGTCGAAAAAGAAAAGAAAACAGGATGAGACAAGGATCGAAAGGGAAGACCCATCTCCGATCTATGGGTCGACGGTTTGGAAAGGATTGACATTCAGACCTTGAGCTAACTATACCGATAAAGTGGACATGGGAAAAATGGGAATAAAACAAAACAAAACAATAATATAATATATGTCAAATAATATAATAATAGAAAGTAAGAAGCGACTCCACTCGACCCTTCTGCACCCCCGTTATCTTGAAAATGCCCGTAACGGCGTAAGGGATCGACTCAGGGGAGGATTGTGATTGATCGGATAGATCATAGTGTTGAATAGGAGTACAGTGAATATAGTAAATAGGATAGTGATAGAGTATGTATACCATACTGTATAGTATCAAACAAAGCAAAGATTCATTTCCCACCAAATCCCATCCATGGAATTGGCACAACGCTAGCATGTAATCAAATCACAATCACCAAAGCCCTTGGATCAGAATGGAGACTATCATCGACCGGACCAATGATCGACATCGACCAAAATTGGAAGTCACTTGACATCTCCTTCAGGGGGAGCGTAAACATGACCAGTCTAAAAATTACTGCTGAGCGTCATTGGTCTAATAATCTAGGGAATTGGGAAATGGGAATTGGAAATTGGGAATCCGGTCAATTTAGAAATTCAGGTTTTATGTTTTCTGTTTTTCTTAGCTTTCCCCGGAGAAAATAGGCGTAACCTACCTTATTATAGTATGCGAGTTATGTATCGTAGACCCTAAAAGCTAAACTCGATAGTCAAAGCCTCGAATCAGAGCCTCCACGATTGAATTTTTCCTACTCCGTCCTTAATTCCGGAATGAACAGTCCAATCAGAAGCAACAGATCTACCCTGTTCTCATCCTGGCGATCATTATGTAACACAGGGGGAGAACTTGTTCCTGAGAAGTTCCATGGTAGCCATAGAAGCGGGAAGAATTACGGAGTTGGATATGGGATATCCTCACGTCTACATCTCCATTCGGGGTCCTCCACATATTATTGTCTGGCAATCTATTTAATTTCTTATGTATCTTTTCTGGACTCCGTAATTAGAACATCCTACGATATAACATAAATATCACAGAATATTTAACAAATAGGATTGGAAATCAAGGAAAATCCACATATCTAGTCCTATCTTCTATTTCCTGATTATAGTTATGGGTCTCCAACAAACACCAGGGCTGAGCTTGTATGGAGTCCTACGGAATAAAATGAAACAAAAAAGGGAAACGAGAACCGTAGAACAAGGAAAAAAAAAAACACAGCTTGTCAACCGAGTGGGGAAATGGAAATAATCATACGTACTAGGGGCACGCTAACGCAGATGGTCTCACACACAAGAAGTGATCGACGAATCGCCGAGGGGGAAGTTATGTGGGCGTTTGAAATTTTTCTAGTTGCGCCGAGATTTAATTTAAAATTTAAGAGTCATCTTACACTTTGCGATGGTGATCGGTGCTACGGAGTATAGACGGAGTACATACAATCCAATATTCGATATAGTATCGGTAGGGGCAGCTATTGTTCGTATACTTCCGAATCGAGGACAGAAGTACCCCCCTGTCTATTTCAAATGTCCTGCATTTCAATCCCCACCAAGCCTCTCATATAATTGTTCGGATTAGAATGAGAAATTGAGAAATAATTATTTACAGAGTCATTGGGAAAGACCCACTGTGGCAGCCCAACAAGTGTGTACAACGATGATTTGCTGCAGGGAAGCCTGCACTGCACGATTGCTTCGTTCTGTCACTCGAGTCCAGATTGGTCTAGTGGCAGGACGTTGCTTTTCTCGTATTGCCTCTCCTTTGTTGATGGATGTCAAGGGCAATTGTCAGAACTTGCATGCATTGTTAAAGTTAAGGGAGGACAAGGGACACAATACACAATAGAAGCTTGCCGAAACCTACTTCTACTTACGGATGTATGTACTCCGTATGTTATATCGTACCTAGCGATTATAGCCCCTGTCACATCCTTACAATCCTCGCCCCTCTCGATCTAGCTCCCATCATTCACTAGTGAATAAATCAGCCTTGATTCTCTGTGGATAATGCAAGGATGAGACACTATGCCCCGTACAGACGATTGGTCTAACCAAATGGGCTGCCCTTGAAACCCAGTCCGATGGTCCCAAAGTGGAGGCCCAGATGCCAGAATTAGATTAATAGATTGGTGCGATGGAACGCGATACAGTTTCTGGTGGCTGGTTCAACGTGTGCGCTCTGGCGGGCCTAAGGGTCGAAACCCGTGCGCCAGCTGCGAGCTTCTGGCCTATCATCGTTGTCATCGCTCCAGATATTTGACTTTGCGGTGGACATGATCCTGGGAATCTAGTAGTCTGCTTCTTATTAAATGCGTTAAAGTGTATTTCGGACAATAATAGTCACTGCTATGTACATCGTAATCATGGTCAGCTTGGCCGTTGCTTTTATTGGTTGCTGCTTTGGTTATATTTCCGAGCATGTATATCCATTATTCCGTGGAAATACTCTTCATCGTTTTTGTGGGAGCTGAAACATGGAGGAAAGATATCCAAAGATATCGTACTCCATAGTTACTCCGTAGTGTTGTCTTAATATAACGCTCATTATGTCATCTTTAACCAGATAAATCGG